GTCTCCCTTGTCGTTGGCGACAATGATAGACTCGTTGATTATTTGCCGCTGCACGGCTGCGGACAGAGCTCTAGTATGCGCTCCAAGAGAAAAGCGATAGTTTAAAGAAACCTGTATGCTATAATAGCTGCAGTGATACGACGCATTCACGTGGTAAAATAGAGGGATTTGCCGTTTTATCGGGCAATATTTGACAGTCTACAGTATCCACCTGTTGTTCAATATTCATAGAGCAACTCCTATCAAACAAGAAGCTACATTTTCCAGAAGCAACTGGGCATCGACGCTTAGTGATTCCTATGGCATTATCAATGGCTGAGTTCTGAGACATGCACCCTAATTTTATAAGTAGCATAACAGGTCGAAATATAAGAATATGGGCTTTCAGGATTTCTCATCCTCTCCCTAGGTGATTGTGCAAGCGCCTGGTCTTATCTAGCAGTTATGATTGTCAATTAGGCCCGCATTGATGAGATAATTATCTGCGCCGTTCAGAAGGAAAAGCCAAAAGCCGTAGTTAATGAAATGATTGCTGATGTGCCATCTTTATTTATCACGTGGACATGGCCGGTAGCAGTCGGATAATTTACACGGACAGTCACGGGAACCAGTGAAAAATTGTTAACGCATCAAGGGCCGGCACGTCACATACTGGCGGTGTAATTGTGTTCCTAAGTTTAGACTATGTGCGCTACGGTACTGTAACAGTAAAAATAACATGCCTATGTTGAGAGTGCTTATTCTAATAACCCGACATACACCAGTTGATAGTATATTCTAGTACTATGTTCCTCTAATTGTATCAATAGCTGACATGCATCCTATTTTTGCAACAAGCATACCCGCGTCGTAAACTTCATCTAGCCTGATTTGTAAGACCACAGTAATAGTAGCACAGATGCATTCGAACATTCTAGCATGCACATCCGGAATTGTGGCTAGTTGTGAATATGCTACTAGCCATCAGATAATCTGCCTGAGCTTACGTGGTTGATAATGTGTAAATGCAAGGTCGCGGTGGATTGACTGTCATGCCACATAATTATTCACCTGTATTACACAAACTTGCGTAGGTAGGTTGGTGGGTGGACAACACGTGCTGTTTATTCTGATTCCTTCGTGGCACGAAACCAACTCCGTGTGGTCTGATTCAGGCATGACGCCTCCGACCATGTGGGCGTGAGTGAGTCAGTGAGAATTATTCAGTTTGACAGCAGTGATAGTGCGTTCTTCCGGCTATTAATACAGAAATGACCAGTTCAGCATCCTTGCCTTGAATAGTTGTCACGGAACGACTGCGGACAGGGCTCTAGTGTGCGCTGCAAGGGAGTGCGAAAGATTGCGTTTCATAATCGGACAGTGAACATTACTTCTAACATCAGTGCATTATTTGCATGTGCAAATGAGGCATCTATCGGATAAGTCAAAGTAAACAAAAAATCAAAATGGAGTTCAAGAACTCGAGTCTCTCGTTTGCAAAGCTCTCAGCGGAACGCTGTTTTGGCCCTGGCAGCCACTTGGAAGCCAAGATCTGACGGATGGCGCCGGCACCCAGGTCCGTTCTCGCTCAATGGTCTGAGCCATCTACTGACACACACGGCTTCATCTTGCCAAGGCAACCAATCACCATAAGTCTTCCGAGACAAAGCAAATATTAGGTTGCCGCCCGCGATGACTGCGGTTAGAGGACACTTGGAATTGCGCCTCGCGCGTCGCGGTCGCGGCGACGCCGGCTTCTCCCACTGGCCTCACGGTCGGACGCCTTGCAAGACCAATTGGCAACGTTTCCCTTACCCCTTCTGTGAACAATATAATGTTCCGTCTACTCTGCCTTCTCAAGACTTCTCCCCTCCTAAGAACCAGGGTCTGGAAGATTGTAGGTGTTAGGGTTAACCGTCTTAGCCTTAACCCCTATAACGCATCTACTGCAACACTTTGAGGTGTATATTTGTTCCCGCTTGCTCCATTGCCGTCCCTCAACTGAACGAGACAATGATCGCGACTGATTAGGCTTTAGATAAAAAAGGAAACTGGATCAAACGGTTTAATGTTTTCATGTCCCATCGCACTCTTCGCGGTGATGGTTAAACCTGTGGGGGTAGGAGCAGCAGTACGTACCGTTGTGGCAGCAGTGATGGTAGAGGCAGAAGGACTAATATAACTGGTAAGAGTTCTGGTATTAGAGCGGCTCCTAGCTAGTAGTACTCATGTTACGACAAGTACTGTCAGTAAAAGTAAAAATAATACTAATAAACGGATCGATGATATCGGTTGGCTAAGGATCTACTCAACTGGCTGGGGGATGCCGTCGGAACTCGACATCGAGCGGTGTGGACCATATATCGTTACCAAAATGCTTTCGGATATAAATTGCGGTATCCAAAGTCTCCATTCAACCTGGAGCTAACAGTTCAATTCAGGTCACTTAAGCTCGGCATCCGGGCCGCAGCATCTGACCACAGCTTAGAACATCCAACCGACGCCGTGCACGCCTTGAAAAGTGAAGAGGTCGGGAAGATCGTTAGAAATACCATCGGAGGGTGGAACTGAAATCGTCATATACCTGGGAAATGATTTAAAGCAGTCAGTTGCGGTTGTTCGTAGGTTCACTATCTGTATTGACATCTTATTTTCAATGAAGGTACGCTAGTAATTGAGAGAGAGGAAAGAGGAGTCCTGATTTCCTCCGCGTCGCAAATACAGATAACAATGATGTGCTTTTTTATTAGCATGAATCCATGTTTACACTCGCAGACGAGATTGAGGGACATGAACCTCAGTGTTGACTTCCGTCAGCGTTTCCTTTGAGGAATATTATTGCCAGTATTACTACCACATTAAGTTAGCTATCATAATTATACAGTTACCGTTTTAAACTTGTGTTCATATGTACGCCGTGACAAGGTGATTCATGATGGCGTACGTGTGACATGGAGGCCCAGACTGCAGTGTCACGCATGCGACGGACGAATACAAGAGAGCGCTGTAT